TTTTGTTTCCCAGGGAAAATGGCCGGCCGTTTTATGCAGCAGCTTGTGTTGTTCAGCGAGCGGCTCTGTGCTCCGGTTCCAAAATCATGAATGCCCAGATCTCTAGGCACACTTCTGCTGCAGGTCTATCCCAAGGGGAATGCAAAATTGCCACAACATGGCTTCCTCCACAGCTTTTTCCTTGGAACCTGCCTTTGCCCATTACTGCTTTTAGTGCCAAGACATTCTATCTAAATACAGAGAATTATTGACTTCTTTGTCAATATATCACATAATTGGTGGCCTTTTTTTTGAGTACTTTTTGAGGGTTTGTCAAATTCACATGAATTGTACTGAAAGGAAATACAACACTTTCAGTAATTTGTGTTAATTAACTCACAATTAACTTGCCAGAAATGTCATAAATATCAGTGTCATGTTGGAAAATATATACCCTGTAGCTTTAATTAATTTTGTACTTACAGTCTTTATAACAATTTTATTTATATGATCTTCAAAATGAAATCTGGATAATCACCCATTATTATTAAATCTGAAAAATTCCACCTGTAACAGCAATTAACATTCATCCAATCTATTTTAAATATTTAGACTTTCCAAAGGTGACCTTGGAAATGGAGTCTCTGGGATGTGCTCCTGAAACGCCCATCATTCTTCAAGGAAGGTGTAAAAGAAGCAACATTCCAGGTGTTCCTGTGTGTCTGCAGACTACAGATATTATTCTCTTATGCTATTTGAGCTCTGAGTTAATTTTAATGAGGCTCCTGTGCTTAATTGCTGGGGAAAACACCTCCTAGTAACAAATGTTGCTCCTTGCTACTTAAAAGAAGCTGAATCACAACCCCATGTACATTCTATAAATGTCTGTGTTATAGCTCATTACGCTGATATTTTTAAGTTGTTTCAAATGATGCGGTTCACCCTTTAAAGCTGAGCAGAATGAAGTATTTGCTTTAAAAGGGAAAATTAAATCATGGAAAATAATAATTTATTGCTCTCACTCTGACAGGCAAGACATGAATTTGATGTTGTTCAGTTTCTATTGCCATGGTTCTCAATGCTGCCTTCTCCAAAACAACAAATGAGTTTTGATTTCTCTTCATGAAATGCATCATTAATTCCTCCTCCTGGCTTCTGTTTGTTTTCCCTTCCTGCTCTCTGGTGCCTGACTTGGATGATGTGAGGGTTTTCCCCTGTGGCTTTGCAGCTTGAGGGAATTTCTGTTCCCAAATCAATATTATAACCCCAAATTCAATATTATTCCCCAATTCATGCTGACAAGTCCATGCCCAGGAAATACTGGAGTTGCATATATTCAAATGTGGAAATAACCACAGGTTGAGTGCTGGTTGTGTTTTGTCCCCTACCTATAAGGACATTACACTTGAAGACTTTTGAGTGTTTGTTTTTATGGTAAAAAATCCAAATCAAACCAGCACACTTGGTTTTCTCTGGCATTTTTTGAATCCCCTTGGCTTGATGTGTAGCTGGAGGGAATCACTGTTTCTTTTGGAGTCGAGGTGTGTTGTGATTAAACCAGACATTATTGAAAGGCATCAGATTTGTACATATTATTTGGCAAATTGAAGGTGGTACAATTGAGGACGACATGAGAGGGTTAATGAGGGGCAAACAGGACAGAGCCTGGACAGACAAAACTTTATGGCTTTAAGTGGGAACCTTCACTGTTTGAGAGGCACATTTGGAATCATATACAATAAGAATTTTGATAAATGTTATTTTACAAACGGGACTGAGGTTCCATTGTCGAATGCTGCATCATGCAAGGACAAACAATGTCTCTGGTGGAGGTTCAGGAGAGTCCTCAGCTGTCACTTCAGCCATGAAGATTTTTCTTTACCACAGGCTTCTCTGTGTGCTCTGACCCTGGAACAAGCCTTTGCTTTTGCTTCCCTCTCAAACTGCTTTAAGGTTGCCCTCATTCTCTCTAATGACTTTAAATCACTGGGTTTGATGTCTAGTTTATCTTCCCAAAATGTAACACCTCTGACTGCATCAAATTCCCTCCTTAATCCCCTTGGCATCTCTGATCACTGAAGACTGGAGTTAGATAAACTCTCCCAAGCAGCTTTTGACATCTTTGAAGAGGCAGATGAATGCCATACAAGATCCATCATGCTTTCCTTGGTGTCAGAAAGGCTTTGCTATTAAAGATTAGGGAGGTTGGAGGTCACTCCAAATCACAATATTGCTCAATTTATAAGCCAATTTTATCCTGTCATCTGGTATTTTGTATTCCAGTTGTTTTGGAGGAGTCTACAGCATTCATCAATTCACTGGGGTTTAAGCACTGAGTGATTCATTAAATGTCTCTAAAGTCAAGCCATTTATCTTTTTCACTGTATTTTATTGTCTCTGTTTTCCCTGACTTACAAATCTCCAGCACAACACTGAGTTCTGCTTGCTTTAAGAGCTGGTGCTTCACAACGGGATCCTGAGGAAAGAAATCCTTGGGTAATGAAACCCCTCTATTGAAACACTATTTTAAACAAAAAGGGAAAAAAAAGAAAAATGTAGAGGTTTCAAAACACAGTTCCAAGGTCCAAAAGATTATTGTTGATTATTTCTCAGACTCAACACTGAGCTTTCCAAGCCCAAATCCTTATTTATAATACAAGCCTCGAAACTGGGGAGAAGAGCATTACTTTTAAATCCCCAAAGTCCACACCTGGCAGATCAAAGAATTGATCTGAGGTCCAAACCCACTCTCTGGGACTACAAAACCACACTCATAAGCTCCAAGGTTTATGATTTTTAAAGCTCAAAGCCTCATTTAAAGGGCCCTCAGCATAATTTTTCAAAAGTCTGATCTGGAATAGCGGTGGGACTGTGATGTCACACAGAGCCTGTGACACAGCAGGACAAGACGGGCCTCAGGGAGGTGGGTTCTGCTCTCTGGAGAGAGCCCTGAGGGCAAACATCCTCACCACTGAGGGCATGGCTGTTGACAGTGGTGTGAGCCCAACTCAGATGGATTTCTGGGGTGGGATGGAGTTTGTGTTCACGATGCCCAGCATCACCCCCACAGGTACAGGCAGGAGCATTGCTGTAGCAGCCCTCTCAGGAATGTGGGGAAAAGAATCAGCACTGACCCCTGTGGAGCTGGGGACAGCTGTGACACACATGCCAGGGATGCTGGAAGGCTGAGAGCCAGCAGAAACACAGCATAACCTGGTATTTCCTTGTTTTCCAGAGCGAAAGGCTGTCTGGGATGCAGTGGCCAGCAACATCCAACAACAGCTGTTACTGCACAAGGTGGGGTAACACCCTGGGACAATACCGATGTCCTTCTTTGCCCACCCAGAAGAGCAGTGAGGAGTTCCCATGGCCCTCCTCATGGATGATGGCCTGCAGTCCCTCTTGCCCTCCTCAGAATGCAGGAAGCTTGCCCCAAATTCCCCTGCTGAGGGACAAATGGAGCTTGGGCAAGAGTGGTATCACCTCTGGGAGGTGGCATTGTACCATGGGGCTGAGCCTGGTCACTGGAGACTCAGGGTGTCCTTGAGCTGCCTCTGTCTGACTCCAGCATGGATTTTTTTTGTGGGAGAAGGGAAAAAAAGAGGCCCCAGCATCTCCTCCCCAGGGCTCTCCCCACTGTCCTGACTTCTGAACAGTGGGAATTGTCAGTTTGGTCAAAGGCACCATTCCTTGATGGAATCATCCTCAGCTCTTCCCTCTGTCCTATTCTAACCCTTTGGGCCTTTCCCTTCTGCTCCAGGGGATCCGAATTCCCACCCTTGGGTCTTTTGATGTGGTCCACACAGAGACCCTGGTGGGGAACAAGACTGTGATCCTGCAGAGGCCAGTGTTCCACCTGGCCAGGAATCTTGGAGGAGTCCAAAACCTGGAAAATAAGGATGATCTGGCTGGTAAGACAGAGGATTTAACCCTGCAGGCCCAGGGTGAAGTAGGCTATTACACCACATTTCTAAAAGCATCTCCTGGGAAATGCCTTAAGCCAAGCCCTGGAGAACTTCCTCCAATCCCCTCTTCTGGTTTTCCAGGGGGTAAGCAGCTGGAGCCTCTGAAATATGCCAAGGTGGCCACACAAGCCTCTGTGTCCCGGAAGAAAGTGGAGTGCTGCATCCTTGGCACCATGTCCCTGCTGCACCACTGCCTGGAGAAGGGCATGAGTGTCGCCTTTGTCCTGAGGGATGTGGGTGTGCTCCTCATTGAAGGCAGCATGGTGCTAATGAGATTCTACCTGGACTTCTTGGAGAAAGTGACTGGGGAGAGGATCCAGGACAGGGCTACACTAAAGGTGAGCCTTTTGTTTCCCCCCTGCTTGGGCAGACCCACAGCAGTACCCCAGCAATGCTGGCATATGGACACCAGGATCTGGCCAGGGGCTCTGACCAGGCAGGAGCACGATTCCACCTGCTCTACCTGCCCTGAACTCCTCCTCTCCTGAGTGCCTTGGCCACATTGAGGATGTGCTGGCACCCTCACATTTCTGTGCTGCAGGCTCTCCAGCAGCTGGACATTGTGGTTTCCCGGGTGGTGCCCGTTGCTTCCCTGAGCTTCAGTGGCCATGTCATCATCTTTCCCAAGTGAGTCAAACACCCTGGCAGCTTTGGCCTCTGGAGAGATCTGGAAGCAGTTTCTCCTCATGACAACAACAGTTCTGCAGAGCACTGACTCTCATTTGTGCCTGCCTGCTCATCATCCCTGTGAACAGACCCAAGGGACAGAGGGAGTATTTTAGGCAACCCTTGTTTCCCCATCATGGAATCCTTTCCTGAGTGAGCCTATTTCCCAGGACAGTCCTTGGGGTTGGGGCACAATTGACTTGGGAGAACAGTAGCCTTTACCCTACTGCCAAACTCACCTGTGAGCAGGTGATGGTGGCAAGGGGCCAGAGCCGGTGGGGACGTGGCTCAGGATGGTGTTGTCTCTTTGTCTCCAGCTTTGAACAGACATTTCAGCCCACATCACTGCCCAGGGATCATCTCAAGGACTTTGGATTTGTTCCTGGAGAGGACAAGAGGAACAAAATAAGTTTGCCACCCATAAGACAAGGCATGGAAGGTAAAGCAGCTCCCCACTTGTTTCCATAGCACAGGCAACTGGTGGCTGTTATTTGATGGGAGAATCCCCAGCCATGATTGTCACAAGAATCTGATTGTGCCAAGCCATGGTGCCAGCTTGTCATGGCCTTTTCTCCTAAGACTGGCTCCACAAGAGCTGAGCCCTGGGCTGGAAGGTGCCCAAGATGCTCATCCCTGGTTCAGCAAGAGGGTGGGGATCTGAGGGCCCATACTTGCTCCCAGAAATTACCTCTGCATTCAGAAAAGACTCCGTCCTAAACCTGGCACTATGGATGGGAGGGTGCCAGGCCTCCGGAGACAGTGGTAGGAGGGGAGTGGGAATTCCCTGTTGGATGTGTTAGGAAGAGGTCTGAGCATCCCCATCTGTCACTTGTGGCCAGTAGCATCACAGCTAGTCTGTTCTGACAAGCCCTGTCCTTCCTGATTCCAGGGAGACTTCCTGGCCTGCCCATGCCTGCTCACCAGGGTTCCACTGCCAAGGCAGGAGAGCAGCCCCAGGATGAGGTGATGGAGATAAGGCACAGCCCTCGGGTCAGGTGAGCCTGGGGCTCAGGACTTGGGGCCTTTTCCTCATCCAGCCAGAGCTTGTTCCCCAGCACGTCCACCAGACAGACTGGAGCTGCTGGGAGCCCCCCATGTCACAGGGCTGGTTCCTCTCCACCCCTCCAGAAGAGTCCCTCATGACAGCTGGAGCCATGCATGGGGACAGACAAGTGTCAGCCAAGGGTTCCAGCTCAGGGGGTTCTTCTCCTGAGCTGGGCACAGCCATCAGCTGAGGGGCAGATAGCTCCTGTGGGCAGAATGTAGCCCCAGACCTCTCCCTCTGTGTCTTCCAGGAAGCTGCCAGTGATCTCAGGGGCTGCTGCCAGAAGAAAGCAGCCTGTGGCTGACCAAGACACGGGCAAGCCTGTGCCCAACGGCCAAGAGTTGATGCAGAGCAACAAAGAGGCAGTAGCAACTCAGAGGGAAAGAGGAGGAAGAGGAGAAAGAAAAGATTCTCTTGGGAGAGAGGGAGAAAAGAAAGTTCAACTTGGAAAAGAAGGAGAAAGAAGGGAATCTCTTGGGGGAGAAGGAGAAAAGAAAACTCGTCTCAGGAGAGAGGGAGAAAAGAAAGTTCAATTTGGAAAAGAAGGAGAAAGAAGGGAATCTCTTGGGGGAGAAGGAGAAAAGAAAACTCGTCTCAGGAGAGATGGAGAAAACAAAGTTCAACTTGGAAAAGAAAGAGAGAGAAGGGAATCTCTTGGAAGAGAAGGAGAAAAGGCTCATCTCAGAAGAGAAGGAGAAAGGGGTTCTTTTAGAGAAGGAGAAAGAATGGATTCTCTCAGAAGACAAGGAGAAAAGAAAGTTGGACAAAAAAGAGAAAAAGAATCAAGAGATGCTCTTGAAAGTGAAGGAGAAAAGAAAGTTCGTGCCAAAAGAGGAGAAAATAAAGTTTCTCCCAGAAGAAAAGAAGTAAAAAAAGTTCCTCATGGAAGAGGAGAAAAGAAAGTTCCTCTTGGAAAAGAAGAAAAGAAGTTTTGTCTCAAAGGAGAAGAAGTGAAATATCTCCTTGGGAGAGAAGGAGAAAAGAAACTTCTTCCTGGAAGAGGAGGAGAAAGGAAAGTCCCTCTTGGGAGCACATCACTGCCATGGAGTGCCCACGCCAGGAAGCCTCAGGTCTCCAAGGTGTTCATCCTGCAGCAGCCGGGGGCTGAGGCAGCACAGGGCCTGAGAGCCAGGCCCGAGATCTTCTGGTCAGTGCTCAAAGAGCCTCAGAAGAGCATTTTGGCAGGCTACAGGTTTGAGTCCTCCCGTCTGCTGCCCCCACAGGATGCCGTGGCTTCACAGTTGCCCATGCTGAAGAAGAGAGAAATGGTTGCCAGAGGCCCGTGGCCCTGGGTGGAGTGAGCAGGGATGAGGGTGAGCAGTACCTGAGTGGCAAAACAGGGACAGGACTGGAACAGGAACTGCCATTCTGGGAGGCTGTTTCCTCCTAGGAATGCAGAGTTAGTGAAGGGATCTTCAAAGATCCTTCAGCTCTGGTGGACGTCATGGCCAAGGTGCCACAGTGGGGTCATCCATCTCCAGGGCTGAGGGACTCCTTTTCCAACAAGAAGGAGCCTCAGGACATATCTTGGCCAAGGTCTCTGGGGTTACAGAAAGCCTAACTCAGAACAAGGCTTCTTTTTAGATTCCCATTGGAAAGACAAAGACTCTCTGGGAGGATTTGGCAAAGCTCAGGAACAAAGTGCTGCTAATGGAGAGGCTGCAGCTAAGGGAAAAGAGAGGGAGAGAGTTGTCCTCCTGTCAGTGTTCTGACCTGAAGCCATCCAGGAGAGGCTAGGAGACACTCCCAGGTCTGTTCCCTGGAGCAGGGAGCCTCACACAGTGTGGGATTCCTGACAGAGACCAAACCCCATTCCAGGTGCTGCTCCTGACTGTTGTTGGGATGAGATCCATGCATCCTTCTCCCAGAAGGCAGTAGGTGCTACCACTACCACTACCACCCTGGGAGATTTTTATTAAAAGAAAAATCCCAGAGTAGCAAATTAAACAGAATTCACTGTTGTATTGCACAACCCATCCCTTGCATAGCTGCAATATCCATTTCTTGTCCTTTAGTCCCTTAGGTTTAAGCACTGATAGTTTCAATAAATGTCCCCAAAGTAAATGATATCTCTTTCCCACTGTATTTTATGATCTCTATTTTCAAAAAAAAAAAACAAACAAAAAACAAACTCCAGCACAACACTGAGTTCAGTTCACTTTAAGAGTCTCTGTAAATACAGGGTACTTTTACAGAAAGAGACACCTGTAAATGCTTTTATGCAGTATTCAAAATGGCACTGAGTTTTAAGGGAATTCTAGTGAGTTTCCATTTGGCTTCTACAGTATTGTGTATTTCCAGGTAAGATGTTCACCCTGTTCTTTTATTCAAGACTGGTTTTGTTTCCTTTCACATTTTAATCTCAGTTGAAATATGGGATATGGCCGCATATATTTAAGATGTTAATATGCCAGAAACGAGAATATACAAATGCACTTATTAAATGTTGGTAAGAACCAACAAAGCTGCTCAATACTTTAAAATTTTGCTGTAGTGCAAAGCTTTGCTTACCTGGAATCACATAGGGTCATGGAATGGTTTGGGTTGGAAAGGACCTTAAAGTCTATCCAGTGCCACCCCCTGCTATGGGCAGGGACACCTCCCACTAACCCAGGCTGCTACAACCCTTGCCCAATCTGCCCTTGGACGCTTCCAGGGATGAGGCAGCCACAGCTGTTCTGGGAATTCCATTCTAGGACCCCACCACCCTCACAGGGAACAGTCGCTTCCCAATATCCCATCTAACCTTGTCCCCTGGAAGTGTAAAATCCTCATCCCTGGGCCTGGAACTGCAGACCCTGGTAAAGAAATATCTCTGTGCCTTTCCCATTACCCCCTTTATCCACTGAATGGTCACAACAAGGTCTCCTGGGACCTTTTCTCCTCCAGGATGAGGAAGAGAAAACCTCCAAATCTCACAGGATTTCTGTTCCAGGAAGCTGTTGCAGCCCTGGGATAATTTTAAAGGCCTCCTCTGGACCTGGTCTAACATGGCTGAGTCTTGTTGGTGATGGGGGGAGCTGGACATGGACTCTCCAGAGAATGGAGCAGAGAGCAAGAATTTCTTTCAATCCAAAATTCACACAGACCATTGTACTGCTTATCTTTATTTAGACTTCTACCACTAATTCCTTGTCTCCAGTCTCACTGTCTAGGAGCTCAGAATTGGCTCTCAAAGCTGTGAGGCGCCTGTGGAGAGAGAGGAAGCTGCTGAAGCCCTGCTATGGCTGGGTATGTGGTGGGTGTGAGGATGTGGAGCAGTGCTGGACATCCCATAGGAAGTGGACACCCAGCAGCTGTGGGCATAGAGAGCTCTGGACAGAACATGGGGCACCAGCTCCCAGCACAAATCTCTGCTGAGTTTGGCCAGTGACCAACTGGGCATCCAGAGCTCCGTTTCTGGCAGGTCCAGCTACCCTGTACCAAAATTTGGCAACACTGGAAATGCCTCATGGCAGGTTCAGCCCCCCAGCACCTACATTTGGCAAACCCCCACACCCCACAAGTTACTCACTCTTTTATGTCCTTTGCCCATGCAGGGGCCACCTTGAGCAACAGCAGAACAATCAGGCTGCAGACCACAGACACAAGGAAGGCTCTTACAAAGACACTCCAGGTGATTTTAGCATCAACTGTGCCTGTGTCTGCCATGCCCTCCACAGTGTTTGGGTCTGTCTTGGTGTCCTCAGCAGCGCTGAATCTCTTGTCCACACCTGGAGGATATTCCCAAATCTCTGTCATCCCTAGGAATGGGGTGTGAGTGGTGGTGGGTATCTCACTGCACTCACAGAGGGTATGAGTGTGTGTCCCTGACACAGGAATGGCCACAACCTCTACCCTGGAGTTGTGAGGGATGGCGAAGAGACAGGGATTCCTGACTCACCTGTTGGCTCAAGGGCCTCACTGTTTCCCCCAGGCACTGGCACTGCCTCATGACCTTCCTGAGGTGCCTCCTTATCCACAGGCTCAGGCTCCAGCACTTTAGAGAGAAAGTGTGCCAGTTTAATTCCAAGTCACCCTTCCTCATGGGAATCTGAAAGCCCAGCTCCCCAACTCCTGTGATTAAGAGTCACTCGTACCTGGAAGCGTTTCCTTCAGTAAAGTAATGAATTCAGACTGTTCCATTAATGGCCAGGAAATGTTTCCCAATCCAGTTTCATTCTTCAGACCTTAAGGGAAAGAATGAAAAATTTCCACCACAAAAATCCCTGGCTGTGCAATCAGTCTCTTGGGCAGTGCTATTGGTCAGGACTGACCAGTGACACTCATGGTGCTTGGTCCAGCTGAGTAGCTGGGAAAGCTCAGGGACACCAGACCCCCGTGAGGAGCTTCTGTCACACTCTGTGGTATTCCCTGTCCATACTGACCAGCAGCACAGGCAGAGGATCATGGAATGGCCCAGCACATCCAGGCAAGGCTGGATTCTCATACCTGCAGCAGATGCCTCGCTCACATTTGGGCCTTGAGCTGGCAATTCCCAAAACAAATCAAAAGCCATGTAGGGTCCAGAAGAGTCAGATCCAGCACCTGGATCTCCACTGCCTCCATCCACGGCTGTCAACAGGACAGAGAAGCTCAAATGAAATACTTCCACGAACTTTCCATGGCAGGAACCGTGATTGGAACATGGAATGGCTCTGTGGACCTGATTGTCCCTTCCTCTCTAGAGCACCATGAAGGCAGGTGCCAGGTGTCTCACCCATGATGATCCAAAACAAACTCTGCAGGAGCTGTCAGAAGCTAAACCCAACCTAAACAATCCTGCTGGCATTGCTCTTGGAAGCAGCACAGGGCCTTGGAATCTGGGAGGGAATGTTCTGCATAGCTGTGTGTTCTGGGCCATCCCTGAGCCTCCCTGCTCTGCTGCACAGCTGAGCATCAGCCAAAAAGAAAGTATTATATTTCCTATCAACAGGATATTGAAACCTAAATGCTCCTTGAAGGGATCTGTGGGACCTGCCCCACTGCCCCTCCCTGTCCACCTACCTGCTCCCGATGGTCCTGACTCACCAGTGGGGAATTGGGCCCTGGGGGCTAGCAGGGCAATCAGGGATAACAGGATCACCAGAGACACCAGGACTGCCAGAGCTCTCTGGAAAGCCAGGAGCACGATGGTGGCCATGGACCACCGTGTCCACATCATGATGAGGCTGCAGGTGCTGCTGAAGCCTCACCCGTCGGCACTGCACACCACAGCCCGCCTGTGTGACCCCTCAGGGGGCTGCATCAACCCTCAGAAGGCTGTATGACCTCATGAGAGGCTTCTACCACCAACATTCCACTGTCTCCAGGGGAGCTCCACATGTCCTGAAGGTGCCTTGGACAGTGTGGGCATGGCCCTATCCCAGCCCACCCGAAGTTCTCTGTTCTAGGAAGCTCTGCATAGGTTACCTGGGATTTCACCTGTCTCCAGAGCAAACCCCAGTGCAAAAGGAGGCACTCCAAACTCATGATTTTTAGCTGTTTGATGGAAAAATGGAGATCAGACTGATTTTTTGGGACAGCACTTCTGTCAAGGGTCAGAATCGTAGAACCCCAGAATGGTTTGGGTTGGAAGGTACCATAAAAACCATCTACTTCCAACCCTCTGCCACAGGCAGGGACACCTTCCACTAGGGAAGGAGTTGGGAGATACTTAACACAGCTGATCCTCAGGATACAGGAAAGCAGCAAAGTTGCAGTTTAGGAGCCAAAATTTGGCTTGTGGATGTCCTAACCCAAGTGCTTCCCAACACCGTGTTCTCCTTCAGCATCACTATATAACCTACTGAAGTTATATAGTTATATATAACTATATATCACTATATAACCCTTCTGAAGTCACCAAGCTCCCCTAGACCACCACAAAACAACTTTTATCCTTGTTTTTTTTCCCCCCTCAAAACACATACCACAAACACAGATTCAACCTGCAGTTAGTCTCGCAAACCAAACAAAACAAACCTATGTAGGTACCTAACCCTGTGTGGATGCTGCTGTGGGGAAGGTTTTGGCAAACAAAACAATGTAGAATTTCTGGTTTGATATTAATCCTCAAATCTGTGTGCATGCAGCACTGAACCTCAAGTCGTTTTGGAGTGAACCAGATCTGGGCATGAGGCTTGATCACACCCTGAAACATGTGACAAATATAAGATGGGAGGAAGCAAAAAACTGGAGCTTCAGCTTGTGCAGTAACCATGGTTTTCCTGCAGGGCAGTTCCCAAAGGGAAGCCCAGAGCTGATTTTCTGTGAGCAGAGTTAGAAATGGCAGCTGGTCCTCTGAACTACTGGAGAATTTTCTCCACAGTGGAGAGGAGGA